TCTACAGGCAATAGACAAGTGTTGTCCCAATAATTGAAGTCTGAACATACGCTTTGAGATGCAAGTGGAGGTCTTGAAAAATTTTGACGACTCATTGATGTCAACAGAACTTGGGAAATTTGGAAATTATTGGTTTGACATTGAAGAAAGGTAGTCACTTGATATTGGTGATGTCGGCAGCCTATTAAAATGAGATCCTTGGTACAAATTTGATGGATTTTGATTTACTAATGATTAATTTATCAATGAGGATCTTATAGATGTTTTCATGCTGGAGGTAGACTAGAATATTTGCTTGATTAAAATGACTGACTCTTTATTTATCAGAGCTTGGAGCTTTATAATAAGTAATGCTTTGAGGTTGCAGATTTAATTTTGGTAGTCTTAGGATTTGATTTATCACTGTGTTGCAATAAAATATTAATCCAAAATGCAGAACATTCTTATCTTTTCATCATGTGTAACAAGCACAGCGATTCTTAAAATACATCTGCATCAATAAAAGCGAATAGCATTAATCTGCATCACGTGCATCCACCTAATAAATGGTTTGTTTTTACTATCTTGGAAAAAATTCAATAGCCTCAGCAGTCACTGGGACCTTATCCAGTTATCCACAATTAATAAACTGAAAAAAGGTCATCTTATTTTTCTTTCATTTTTAACAAAGGCACAGCAATCATCAAAAAACACTTTCTCAACCAAACCGAAGACAAAAGTCATTTTATTCTTCTTAGTTTTATAACAAATGCACTGCAACTGTCTATATAGCTGTAAAGCCTTTTGTTCTGCCAGCATTTATGATTTTCATATTGAAAATTGAAATATTTGAAATATGACTAGGAAATGATCAATTCCACATTGCACATTATGAAAGTCTGCATCATTTGGATTGTGACAAATTAATAGAATAATAAATTATCAATGAGGGTTATTTGTTATGATGTTGACATTCATGACGGTCAGAAGCTGCGCGCGCAAAACGTTCTGCGACCTGTCAGAAGAATAATACATGCATATTTTATTTTTAATTGCGTTTTGATATAAATCATTTTTTCGTTCATTTCTTTTATTATTCGGAATCCGCAAGTAAGGAGGAATTTTTTAAGACCTTTACGAGTTCCATAGGTCGACTGTGGACGTAGAAATAGCAGAAAGTGAATCTAGCGAAGCGAAAAAATTTTTGATTTTTAATTGTTTATAACTAATTAATGCTACCTCCGCAAGTAAAAATAAGGGTGGAGACATAATCCGCAAGTAAGGAGAAATTTTTTAAGCCCACCCCCGATCAAAAATATTAACATTTACAAAAAATTCCGCTAACTTAACTAGTCTTGCAGCGCCACCACCCACGCAATCGATTCGTCTGCTCTAGAAACGCTTGCGTAGTCGCCGTAAGCTCTCTTTCTCTCTCGCTCTCTGCGTGTGTGTGCGCGAGTACGTCTGAGCGCGCGCATACATCCCACTCACTTACACACACGCGATCGGCTCCGGCCTCGCCCCCGACCTCGAACTCGGATACTAACCCCCGGAAGATTCTTTCTTTGCGTCTGTCTTTGTTTTCCTCTACTAAGCTCGACGGAGATTTTCCTTGAAATTTTTTCATTTTTACCCTCCCATTTCTCACGAGCTTGCGGCTTTACGCCAAATCTTTCACTTTTTCCATGTATTCAAAAACATCCACTTTAAACTAAGAACAGTGATAATTCATATTTCCGATGCAGTTTCGATGTTGTTGAAAAATCAGTTGAAATACATAAGCCAATAATTTACATCTATGTAAAAATTCTATTCTAAGTAAAACGTACATGAAGAAAAAGCACGTATATTGATGGTGAGGGTGAAAATTCAAACATCGCTACTATCATCATATTTTATCATTGAAAGCTGTCGAAAAAAGAAAAAGGTAGGGAAGTAACGAGTCTTCAGGGGTAACTTATTTTGCAATGGTCCACGAAAAATATCTGCGTACTTCGAAAACGAGTGGAATGGACTGAAAAAAGCACTCGATGTCGTGCAAACGTACTTTTATCTGTTTCATCGTACCGACATGACAAAGAAAATGTTCAAGTACTTTTACCTCCAAGACACGTAAATTCATGAAATTCCAAGTCCAGATGTGAATAAGTACTCGAAGTAAACCTCTGCATTTTTTAGCACTTTATTACTCATCATTCACATTTATAGTTAAAACTTTGACGATGAAATCTGTGAAGGAAATTGGCGTAGAACAGAATTTTCCTCGTCTGCCATCAATTTATTTCTAATTTTAAGCATGAAGTCTGATTTTGGAAATGAATGAATTTAAGAAGTTTGTGCACCAACAGCCAAGCTGGGGGACACGAAATAGAGGGTCACATTGGCAAAGAAATATCACCAAGATATCCGAGGAATATTGCTCCGGGCTCTCTGAAATTCAGCATAGAGAACATCGCTTATAGGGTAAAAAAGTCTGTGTAATCGAAATCATGATGCACCCTCGAGAGGAAATTACCAGAAAACAAAGAATCACGTGTTGGCGTGTGACACGTGTACTTGATCATCAAAACGATGAATTCAAACCTCTAGAAGTAAAAGAAAAGGGAAGGGCTCTAGGTATTCATATTGATTTTGGATCGATACGCGAGTACGTAGAAAGATAATCACTTAAAGTGTTTGAATAATTGATCGATGCGCCGCATCGAGTAACTTTTTTTCTCGACAAAGCTTTATAAATCAGTTCTTGGGGGTTCATGAAAATTTATACTTACGCAAAGTTGATTTGAGTAGGTTTTTCTCTCCAGTTGCTATCTTTAGGTAGGGTAATACACGGAAAATTGCCAAAACTGCGCAGATTTATGAGAGATTATTCGAGCTTGGCCTAGAACTCGTCATAAAAAGTGTTACATTAATGAGGTAATAAAAGTAAATCCGACGCCTGCGCCCTTTTATCTGCCTGCGTTAATCCGCCGACCCCACAGGCACGCTTTGCGCAAACACAATGAACGCGCAGCACACATATTTTAGTGTATGTAATATTGTGGAAACAGCATCTAAAACATTTAAAATGAAAGCAGGAAATTTTAGCGAGAGCTCGCAGCGTCTTAACGAGAATATGTATACCGGGGACGACGACTTTCGGGCGCACTTTACGATCATCAAAGAGCATTAAATTTTATCGAATCTAAGAGCTATTGCTCAGACTCGCATTTCGGCTCTGTCGCTCGCACACACGCCCAAACTTTTTGCAGCTCGCACATTTTCCCCGTAAAACCTCATGGGAAGAAGATTTCGGGATGTACGTGTACGTAGCGTCTTCGCAGTTGTGTTCGTGCATAAAAGCGAGCGTGAGGCCACAGTATCTTCGCAAAAAGTCAGGAATCGAGTTGCTACCCCAGGAGTGACGATAAGCCAAACGATTCATGTGTTAGAGTGGAGACAAAAAAAGGGTTTTTTTGGGGGCTCGCTTTTTGCGCTCGAGCTCTATGATTTATCCTGACTCCACGCTTGGTCTCTTTGCTTTTCTTGTAGGAATTACCAGGCAAGTTTTTTCGTTGGATTTTTATATCTCGACTTTTTGGTATCAGACCCCTAAGTAAATAATTTATATTAATAATTTTGAGAGGAAAAACTTACTTCATTTTAAAAACAAAGATTATAAAATATATAATCCCCCTTTTGGAGGCAAAAATACATTACGTCCTGATTGTGGTTTATGAATAACCCCATCAACCCTTAAGACATAATGAAATTCTCTTGAGAGCTGTCTTTGAATTAATTAATCTTCTAATAATGCAGAATACCTATAAGATCGTCCTCAGACATTGATGATGTTAGTAAAATTAATTGTTTTCCCCTCTCGTATGAAACAACGACGGCCTAGTCGACACTTTGCAAAATGAAATCCCAAATGGTAGATGTTCTAAAAGTTAAAAAGCCGCCAATACTGCAGGGAAAAAGCAAGTTATTTATTGCTACGCAAATCGCAAAGAGAGGTCAAATTAGATCGGGTGTAGTACCAGGTGAATAGAAAACCTATTTCGCATGATAATGTATACCTTTTAGCGAGTATAATGCATGCGTCTATCTGCGATACACCCAGGCACGCATATACGAGCACGCACACACGGGCAGTTTTAATGAGCGACAAACAATGGAGCAGAAGCCCTGGGCTCATAACAATGTCATTGCCAAAACCACGCACGCTTTTCGAGTCGAAGGAAAAAAGCGATAAACGAGACAATCTCTTTCTTTTTACGGGCTCGTAAATTCACTCGACCGAACGAGTGATAAAGAGAAAGAAAGCAAGAAAGAAAGAAAGAAAAAGAGAAAGAGAAATACGTACGTACATCGAATCGTAACTGTGTGTATGTGAGCACGCGGAAGTTTACCCGGTGCCTCTCTTTGTTGCAAATGCCGAACCCGCACCGAGCAAGATTTCTTACGAGCATCCCCTTTTCTACCGTACATCGGGGTCGCTATATAGCTCGAACAAAGACTCGCGTTTATTTCTCTATATACACGAGTAAAGACCAAGGAAATCGATAATCTTTGGTAGATACTTGGCCCAGCACACGGTTTCCAGATGTTACATACTTGTAAAGTTATTTTAAATAAGTTACTGACATACTCGCAAAAGTCAAATAAATCTGGCTCATTAAAATTGTACTAATGTGCACTCTTTCATTTAGTATAGACATAAGGCGCCAACAAAGTTGCATTCTAATCACGTGACACTACTGTTGTAGGGAATTCCATTCATCTACATTATTTATCATATTACATATCAAACCAGTTTCGAACAATGAAAGATCTGCCACAGCAGCAAAGCGTCGAAGCACGGCCTTGCCTCATAAGTGGTAAGATTAATGCTCTTACGACATGAGTTACACTTAGAAAAAAAATTCATTATCACCGACTTATAATGCAAACTAACACAACTGTCATATCTCGTAGCGCATGCCGGCATACCATTTTCCGAATGCGCGACGATGCAGTCTTTATTGAACCGCAGCAGTGAACTCGTTATTACTTGAATTTTCGAGGTTTGTACATTTGACTTTATTATTTATAAACAATACGCAAAGTATGAATGAGTAAAGATACAGTTCAGAAGTTTAATAAAGAAAATTTAATGTTTACGCGAGAGCGAAATAATCATCTGTAATAAAACGTAAATCAATTCTGATTCGTATTTACGTATGTTTTAGCGGCTCATTTTCATCGGATAATGCAATTAGAGTTTCCGAAAAATTCCATGTATCCGCAATGGTTCGCCGGAATCGGAGGTATACTAAAGTTGAATTGCTCAGGCAATGATTATCTTTAATGAAATTGTTATGTGATATGCCTCATCGGCACAATGTTGTTGTTTTACGATATATAGTTACGATGCTGACCATTCACATCGGCTTAATCGGCGGCTGGTCATCACCGACATTAGTTAAACTAACGGCGGCGGACTCGTCGATTCCTCTGGACTCCGATCAAGCATCTTGGGTCGCGTCCCTCGTGAACTTTTCCCGCTTCTTCGGTGGCATTCTCGGCGCCGTTTGCGCAAGTTATTTCGGCAGCAAACGCTCGATCCTAATAACGCTACAGCCCATTGCTCTTGGCTGGCTGTTCGTCGTGATTGCCACGTCCGTCGAGTGGCTCTATGCCTCGCGACTCGCCAGCGGTCTAGGCCTCGGAATGGCCTTCGCGACCTTTCCCCTCTTCGTCGGCGAAGTGTCCATGCCCGAAGTGCGAGGGGCTCTCATTTCCTTGGCCATTGTCGGGGCGCCCTTTGGCCAGGTCATCGCAAGCGTCTGCGGAACTTATCTCTCGGTGCAAGTCGCGGCCGGCATTTATTTGGCTCTCGCTCTACTGGCTACCATCATTTTCATTTGGCTGCCAGAGTCACCTCATCACTTAGTGAAAGCCGGAAACGCTGAGGCTGCGAAAAATGCCATCTATTGGTATCGAGCTGGTCGAACTGTTGAGGATGAATTTGGTGCCATCGAAAGATTCGTTGGGGGTAACGTTCAAAAAAGTTTCCTCGATAAATTGAAAGAATTCAAAACAGGACCGTCCAAAAAAGCCATCATACAGGTAATTATTTTGTTCACCTTCGCGCAAATGAGTGGACTCAACGTTATTATGTTTTTCATGGAAACGATTCTGCGACGAGGTGAATTCGTACTCGTCGAGCCTTCTTTAATGGTCATCTACGCTAACGTATGCAGCACCGCATCGGCGATTGTGTCGATATTTTTAATCGACAGATACGGTCGTAAGTTGCTGCTTTCTTACGCGGCTCTCGGTGTCACTCTGTCGATGATAGGCCTGACGTGTCACTTTTTACTGATGGATCTCAAGGTGAATAGCAGTCAATTGCAGTGGCCCTTGGCGGGCTCGATATTTCTATTCATGATCTCGTACTTCTTGGGGCTGCTCCCGGTGCCCAATGCAATATTGAGCGAAACTTTCCCAGCTGATACTAAGCACATCGCGTCTTCGATCGCAGGCTTAACGAGTGCATTTATGGGGTTTCTTTCAGCCAAGACTTACCTGCCGATGCTGAATGCCATGGGCGATACTTATGTATTTTTGTTCTACCTTATTTGCTCGGCAGTTTTATTGCCTTACGCGATATTCGTGTTGACGGAGACAAAAGGTAAACCTTTGCAACAAATACAAGATGAGCTAATGACCAAGTGATTACGACGTGACTGTAATTAGATTCTTGTCAAATTCCGACACTAAAAATGTATCCATTGTATAAAGAACAAACAGCCTAATCTTCAGGCAGATATAATTAATCCTTAAACAACTTAATTAATGTAGAAACAAATAGTATCTTATTATTCTAAACAAATGAGCGCAAGCCCTTTTATTGTAACTTATAGATCGATTTTTATACTTCAAATACATGATTTTTTTAGCTTTTTCTTCCGATTGTATATCTTTAGTACCAACCTCGCAGTAATTGAACCCCTGCTACTCGGCATATAGACTTACATTGTAGCCGAGTGGGTTGTAGTTCAAGTATTCAGGTAAAAAATATTTAACGTTACTTCAAAATCACTGGTTTATTTTGATAACAGTAGTCATGTGTTTTAAAAAAATATTACTAATATATTTATAATGAATATTGTAACGAAACATTTAAATAATATATCATGATCATCAGAGGAATAAAATTACTGCAGACTAATTGAGTTTGTATTATCGTCATAAGAAAGGAAAAATAATTTTATAGTGATTTTGATATTGATTTATTGTGGAAAAACTGTTTTAAATTTATTTTGGCCAACATTTACCCATCACGCTGAATTCATTTTGTAATCTTAATTAATTTTAATTAATTTTAGCGAGCCAAAAAGTTTCGAATAGCATGATTTCAAAGTTTCGGAATAATCTTTTCCTATCTTCACAATTCCAGTTTCATTGCTCTTAATGCACATAGCTTTATGAATAAAATCTAAAAATTTTGATACTTTAACAAATACTTCTGTTTGAAGTTTTGAAGTTGTCAGTGAAGGAAGACCATTAATGTAGATACCGATCAATGAATTATCAAATACTAAAGGTCCACCAATGTCACCCTGAAAAAAACGTAAATGATCGTGGACTAATTTCGTAAAATGTTAGATATTTTCTACGAAGATTACCCAACCTTGCGTAGATGATAAGCATTTTTACTAGTGGCATCGATGCCACGAGCACATATTAATTTTTCTGAAGTACATCTAGGGGACGCATAAACTTTAACATTTAAGTAATTTCTTTCCAAAGATGTAGTCTCATCTGACTTGGAAACTCCAAAGCCACTGGCTACTGCTTGACTATTTGTGTATTCTTTTTTATCTTCTTCAGGTAATGCAATTTTTGTTAAATTATTTTTGGCTACTTGAAAACTATTCGTTAGCTAAAAAAAATTATTAAAAGATATAGTTTAATTTAAAAAAATTAAGAGAATGTCGTTTCCACAGTGGTAATGAAAATTTTCAACGAGTTTTTTCATGAAATATTTTTCAAAAAAGGTGAATAGATATTCTGAAAAAAATAATAGGGCAAATTTTTAGAAAAAGATTCAGTCAAAATCTCAGAAAATCAATTTGGATCACTCCATTAACAATTATTTTCATTTAATTGCTGAATACGACATTCTCATCAGATCAACGAATAAGATTTGGTACTTCAATTATGGCTATGTCATTTTCTGTTTTTTTGGGATAATTTTTCTTTATCATGATAGCTTTGATATATTTGATTTTACTTGAAAGATTTAGGTCATACGTCCCAGCAACCACCCTCCATTCAGCTACATCAACATATACTTCATCGTCGTCAGTTACAAAGCACTGGGCTGCAGTTATGATAAAAAAGTCATCAATTATTGCACCACTACAAACGTGTTGATAGATTTCCCATTCATTGATTTTTTTTTGGATAGATACTGTATATTTATGAGAATCGTTGATATCAGGTGAACTAATTACTCTTTGCAGTTCCACAGCACTTAGAACTAAAAATATAAATCAAAAAAGAATTATTGCATTTTTATTATTACCTTTAAGTTACCTTTGTTAAAAAAAAATATACAGATGAAAAAATAAGATTGTAAAAGTTTCCACATTTTATTCTATAGAATATTCAATAGTTGTACAAGCACTGATGCTAACATATTTTCGGAAGTCTGAATCGTGACTTAGTTGAGAATTTTATTATAATTGTGTAACTAATATACGTCATGAATATATGGCCGATTCTCTGTGAAATCGAATGGCCAAAAAATTTTTTTTTCTGCAAATATGAAAAACTTGCTGTTTCCGATGTCAGAAATGTCCCCAAATTTTATTAGAATTTTTGGGACCATCTATCACTCTTTTTCAGGGGCCCGAAGTTGGCCATTTTAGGGTTTTTTTGAAATTCATGAAAAATCACAAATATTCAAATAATTCCTGGATCAGGGTAGAATGATTCAAAAGTAAAAGTGCCCAGCAACTTTTTTGTTGGAAATTGTCCAAATTTTCAGGAAAAAAATATGCCAAAGTGATTGGAGCCACCCAAAGAGAGCATAGTGGGAAAACATAAAAAAAACACAAAACAAGAAATCTACTCGAGTTCGAACCGGACTTTCATTTCCTAAACTATGTGAAAAGCTTCCTAAAGATGTCAACTAATGCCTGATAAAGTTTTGTAATGGGTCTTAAAGTTTAACGCAATGTAGACAACAATGTGATGCGAAAAACATGCAAAAAAGGCCTGAAAATGGCTGTTTTTGGTGATTTTAGGCATTTTGGGCCTATTTTTGACCTTTTTTGCATGTTTTTCGCCACACATTGTTGTCTACATTGCGTTAAACTTTAAGACCCATTACAAAACTTTATCAGGCATTAGTTGACATCTTTGGGAAGCTTTTTACATAGTTTAGGAAATGAAAGTCCGGTTCGAACTCGAGTAGATTTCTTGTTTTATGTTTTTTTTGCAGTTTTTTTGCTTTACATTTACCTAGATTGTTCCAATCACTTTGGCATATTTTTTTTCTGAAAATTTGGACAATTTCCAACAAAAAAGTTGCTGGGCACTTTTACTTTTGAATCATTCTACCCTGATCCAGGAATTATTTGAATATTTGTGGTTTTTCATGAATTTCAAAAAAACCCTAAAATGGCCAACTTCGGGCCCCTGAAAAAGAGTGATAGATGGTCCCAAAAATTCTAATAAAATTTGGGGACATTTCTGACATCGGAAACAGCAAGTTTTTCATATTTGCAGAAAAAAAAATTTTTTGGCCATTCGATTTCACAGAGAATCGGCCATATACTTAAGAGTTAAAATGGCTTTGAAGTACATACTTAAAACATCACGATTCTTAAAAAAACAAACCACAAAAAGTAGTCTATTAAATAATTTCACAAATTATTATTTAAAGTAGCATGTATTATGCCTTACAAAATTATTTTGATCGGAATTATCGTGAAAATATAATACTTTTATCACTATAAATTGAAATGATGAGCATTAGTGTAAAATTTTTTTCCTAGGCACAAATATCTATTTAATCAAAATTAATTGTCTTTTCTAATTAAAATAGAGACGGCAAAAACGCATAGTTCACCAAATTCTGTAATGGATCTTAGATAAACTTTTATCTGGTGAGACAACCATTCGAAAAACCCAACATGTTTTTCATTAGGCGGAGTACTATTTTTTTTAATTATTTTTTCTATCCATGGCACAAAATGTTCAACATTCGTATATACTCCAGGTAACATTCGCGCAGCACAAAGGTGACCTTTGGAAACAATACCGGCTACAGTATGACCGCACAGCAAGCCACCTCCAGAATCACCCTGTTTTTATAGAAGAAAAATGTAATTTTTTTCTTATTTCAAGCTTATTTTAACAACTAAACAGTAGACATACCTGACAAGAATCTTTTCCACCTTCACGGTATCCTGCACATATATTACTTTTTAAATCGACATCAAAATGAGGACTTTGCAATTCAGCCCTACACTCTTTCGTATCCCATAGTGGAACATTTACATATGATAATGATTCTTCCACTCCTGAACCCTAATTATTGATTATTATTATCATTGAAAATTCAAAGCAACAAAAATTTATATCCTTTTTTTAAAAATGTTTGAATAAACTTACGTAATGCTTAGCACCCCATCCAGCAACAGTACAAGTTGTATTTGGCTTAATGGAATCTGGAGATCGATTCAACTCTATTTGATTGATATATTCATTGAAAAGAAATGGTTGATTAAGCTAAAAACAAAATATATTATTTCAACAAAAATTGTAACACTACAGACTCTCCAATATTAATATTTAAACTAATGATTTCAAACCTTTAAAAGAGCAACATCATTACGTATAAGTCCTGCTTCATAGTTTGGATGTTTATGAAAGTTTGAAGCTTCTCTTGTTATTCCCTTTGCCAAATTCACATCTCCAGCTACCGCAAACATACGTTCGCCATTACTAACACATTAGAAACTATTAAATATATTGTCAGTATAATATAACGCTCTCTTGCGTTATACAACTATCATATTTTTATTTTTTAGGAGTGACTTCAAAAATTCTACACAAGCTTTATACCACAGTTGTAACAAAATCAAAACCTTGAAACGACTTGATAAAGATAAAATCCATTATCTTTACTTATGAAGTACGATTTTTACTCGTCAGAAACTTACTTTGCTATACAATGAGCGGCCGTCAAAATCCATTCGTCTCCAATTATTATACCTCCACAAAAATGTCCTCTCAGAGAAGAATCTGTATGCCTTATTGAAACCTATACTCAAAAATACTGTTTAATCAAAGGCCGCTCAATATATTTATAAAATAAATCGTCAAATACTTGCCTGGTATGGAAATTGTCCACTGTAAGCTTTATCACCGTTTACAATACGCCCTTCCAAATGCAATGCTTTTTCTTGAAAACAGAATTACACTTATTTTATGTTTAACAATCTCCATGAACATTGAGAATGAAAGATAATATACTAACCAGTCGTTGAAACGAAGTGCAGAAAAGTCACGCAAAAAAGAAAAAAAAATGGTTTCCACATTATGGACACACGTTTATAACACCCTTCCTATTGTTCGCCGGCTTTGTAACTACTAATATCGGTCGCAATACAATTTTGCTCCAGCAGTTTATCTTCCAATACCTTATCATTTATTTTATACATCGAACCGAAATTGACTCACGATTGCTTTTATTGAATAACACTTAAAAGTGGAATATAAGAGAATCTACCTAGAGTATCGAGTCAGCTGATAACTCGCCAATGGATGAGTATGATATGATTGAATTCATCGGTACTTGCGAAAGACTACATTATTTGAAAAGAATAGCTAAGCAATCAATAAGTTTGCTGATGAACAGAGTTGCACTATTTACAATTAGTAAATCAATTTGATCAATAATCACTTAATTAATTTGTAATTGATTGATGAATTGATTTTTTATTGCAATTAATCATTGAAATGTAATGAAATTATTATTTTTAATTGAATATTTGTAACCCTGGAGATAAATCTTGAAAAATTAAAAACTAGTAGAACACAAGTATACTTTTTATAATTAATTAAACTTTTATTGCTTTTCGAAATCAAATTGTATAAATTTACTTTTATAAAAATAAATCATTAATTATAATGATAAATGTATCAAAAAATCGCTTATTGTAAGATTATAATAAACTCAAAGTATAAATGTAGCTTATTTAAGATAACTTTGCTATAATTTTTTTGACTAAATGATACTACCGCTCTGTACAAGAAAATTTGTGTTTTGATATACATAGTACATACATGTATCATCATTCATCATTTTTAAGATTGCAATTTATTAAATTTCCTTTTAGCTGAGTACACAAAAGTTTTCTCGGGTAGAAAAATATTATAAACTTAAAAGTACAATTTACGGTACTAAATTTAATGCTAAAATGGAAGCGTCATGAATCGATTAGTTATCGATTGTTTAAAAATAATTCGATTTAAAGCGATGACTATGAGTGACTACTTAAAAATCTAGTAATACTGTGATTGAAATTTACAAACTATGTACAGATATCATGACTAATCAAAGAATTACGATGTTAGTAAGTACAGTAGCCCGTCTATCAAGAAAAATGCATCTCTTACTATTTCATACAACCTATAAACTAATCCAAGGTGTACAGTTTCTTTATTCAAATCATTCTCTTGCAAAAGTGGAATCTCATCGACATATTTTGTAATCCAGGGCAAAAAATGTTTAACATCAGTGTACATTCCCGGTAAATTTGGACTTGCACACTCATAACCAGCAGATACAATGCCACTTAGAGCGCCATCGCAGACCAATCCACCACCGGAGTCTCCCTATCAAAGTTTGATTAGATTAAATCACTATTAAAGTAAACGCAAACGAAATTTTAGATCAATTATTGTAGAAATCAACTCACCTCGCATGCATCTCGGCCACCTTCTAGGTATCCAGCGCACATAAGTCCTTGTGGTAGCGTTGATTCGGAAAACATGAGTTCTTGGCACTTGCTCCTGTTCATCAATGGCACATCCACATACATTAAGGTTGGACTCAATCTTTTCTCGGTCTGTAGTTAATAAAATATTATTTAATAAATAGATTTTTATGAAGTATATAATATTTTTGTTCGATGTAATGTAACTACTTACGAAATTTGTATATCCCCATCCTGCTACTCGACAAGTAGTCCCTGGTTCGACAAATTCTCGATTTATTGTCACTTTGTGCACTAAGACTGATTTTAACATAAATGAATGTTCCAGCTGTAAAAACCAATTATAATATTCATTACACGGTTTTTAAAAAATTTTATTTTCTAAGCATTATTTAACAAATATATATTTTATTCAAATTCAATAATTCGAAATGCAATTATAAATCTCTCAATGGTACTAAAATTTTATTTGATCATGTGGATCGAAAATTGACGAGTATTTAAAAGAATATTATTAACAGAAGTGAATTTGATGCATTCAAAATCCCTATATTCATATTTGACTTCTTACAAGCTTCATCCATTCGTGAAAACGTTATAGATATAAATGATATATTACATTTTTTTCATATATGTCATCATTACGCTACTCTTTTTTAACAATTTGATTAAGAGAACCTGAACTTGAAAGTAATAAACTATTACTTGAAAATCTAAAGAAAAATAGTTAACAATTGAAAAGATTTCACCATTGCACAATTTAGGTACAGATGTAGCTACTGTCGCGCGCTTATGTTCCTGCAGGTGCATTAGTCAGCTGCTCCTCACTTATTGCATAATATGTCATAAGAGTCATAAGAGGGTACATTTACGCGAGATTAAAGACATTTTTTAATTATTGCTAAAAAAATAGTCAAGCCAAGGTAGAAAGGAGCATTTACAAACGCGTTTTCCGAAATCGCTAAATAGTTTTATAGCACTGCGTGGCTTAAGTTCACGTTTAAGGCACGCTTTGCCGTGACTTAAGCTGCTCATTATTGCACCGCGACGCTATTATGAGCACCTTATATCTCGCCAAAGGGGGCCTAAACATGAATTTAGCACAGTGCTATAAAAAAACGTATGATACTCATGACTCAAGTAGCCCATTCTTAACACGGCACCGTAACCCGGCTTCGCTCGGGTGCTAACCGTGCCGTGCAATAATGGCCTGCTTAAGTCACACGTATCATAATATACTATTAGAGTGGCCATTGTTTTGTTATTTCGAATAGCACTCCAAATTGAATTTTAGATAACATTTTTTTTTTAATTTTCACTTTAACCTTAGCTTCAGAAACTGCATCAATTTTTTACAAGTTTTAACTATTTATACTAACCTCCAGAAGGGCTATATCATTAGCATAAGTCTCATCATTGAATTCTGGATGTACCACAATCTTTACAACTGCATTTATCTGATTAGATCTATTACTGTTTTTCAACACTATTTCGCCAGCAACAACCTTTATTGACGATGGATCAATGTTGTTCCCCAATGAGCTAGAATAAAAATTTCGAGTATTAAATTATTTCGTCAATCGATTAATACTACATTTCAATAATTAAATAATGAAATGTAGTAAATTTTAGCTGTTTTATCAGTATTGAGGGTTACTTACTCTTTCATACAATGAGCTGCAGTCAATACCCATTTCTTGGCAATAATGGTTCCACTGCAAAAATGCTGTTCGCTGGACTTTCTCAAAGAGACCTTAAATTTTTACAAATTTTCAAAATTAGCTTGGTATTTAAAAATTATTGGGCGAATGTAATTTAGTTATCTAATAATTACCAAAAAAGGAAATTGCCCCATATCTGCTTCTGTTCCATTAACGATGCGCCCGCTAAGTTCTCTTGATCCGCGTCGAGTTTTAAGAACCCCAGCATCTATTACAAATTATAATTTATATAAAATTAAACATAAGCTTGTTCGAAACCACGTTACAAAATATTTATGAATTTTTTAAACTAATGGCGCGATAGAAAACACTTAAAAATCAACATCCTTTTTTCAACATTTTAAAATAATTGTAAAAATTTTACGTGCACTTTTTTATCACTGAACCAAAATTCAATCATCACATTATTACCTCTCTATAGGCTCACAAAAAAAAATAATTTTTTAAAAACTTACCAGCAAAGTAAAATAAAAGAACGCAGAGGAAAAGAGTGGCGTACATTGCCATTTGGATCACAATATTTTGCACACAACAATAATTTTTCAATCAAACTTCCACAGGTTTAACTTTTTGCAGACTGAATAGAAAGGTGGAAGTAGACTGTCTTATAAGCAGCTATCAATGTGCAGCTTATCAATTATTTGATAATATTGAATTGACCAGATTTCTATCGGACTCATGCTATTCGTCATCGAAAGTATTTCGCTGCAGCAAAATAAACAACCACAAATGAAATCCACACCTAAATATTATGATTCTAAATTTTTGTTGTGGAGATCATAATAACGATTTACTGCTTTCATTTTTTTGATGTATTCACTGATTTTTAATCTTTGTGATTGGAGTCTCCATCTTTCCTTCAAGCCTGGCTCAATGGAATGTCCGGTTATTCCTAGAATAAAATCAACAAGATCTTATATGTTGATCACCAAGACAAACAAAAATATATAGGCATGCAATTTTTGTTGATTTTTCTGCTCTTCTTCAATTTTTTCCACGCACGGAGAGACAAAACACAGGCTTGTTGGATCGCGTTACACCAAAAAGGACAGAGCCCGACAATTCGTACTTTTTTCTACTGTTATCCCAGTTGATCTGCATGAATCATAAAAAGTTGAGGTATGCACAGGAAGCCTTACGCATCCAAGTCATTGATTCATTGCACAAAAAATGTCGCCTCGACGATATGTCAAACGTTTATCGAACTTGTTGATAATTTTTATAAATGCGCATTCATTTTTGTTTATCAATATTATATCGTTTATTTTTATAAAAGTACCAATTCCTCGGTACGGTTTCGTCATGCCACTCGAAAAGTGTCTCGGCCACGTGAAAGCAGCGCGTGAACACTTTTAGCGGTATAGACGATTCGCGCAATACCTCGACTAATTGCAAAGTCGATCCGAAAAAGGAGGGAACGACGCGCGGGCCAAATCGGGCGCACATCGTAAATGCTTGACCGGCGGCCATCGGCTTAATGCGTCGCGCGCAATTTTTTGGGGAAATTTACGAGTGCCACTGTTGCGCTCGTTGCAGGTGCATCATCCTCGCGCGATCTTATCGTCGCCCGAAACCTGCACTCGGCGATTCTCTTCACGCGGTGAAAGTTTTTCACTCGGCCCAGCACTGCGTCAATTCGAGCATATGTTTATTTTCGAGGTGAACGTACGCGTTAAAATTTGTTGTTGTTTTATCTTCTGTTGCAAGTGTTGGAAGGTTACGCACCCGGCGATTATATACTGTTTCGCTGAATGATCCGCTGCAGCTTTATATTATAAAACGCATCGAGTTTATACGGTTTCTTTTCATTTCTTCGATGGCTCGCGCGCACGTGAGCTCGTGCGCCTTTAATGAACATCTGCAACATATCTTTCTGCCTTTTTTTAGTACAGTACATACAAATATATTAAGATCATTGATTGCTTTCCATGAAAACATGACTTTCCCTTATCGCGATCTAACTCGAGCTCGCTTTCAATATCGAAGTTTTACTTCCGAGTTTACAGGCACGCGTTCACTACTCGTCCAACGTATTATGACGTAGGGCTCACAACGAACCAAGTTAGAGTCTATTATGCATAGACGTTGGCAAACATTGTCACGACGTGTAGTTGTACACAATTCATGGGCTTGACGCCGGGGACTGCATCAGCTCTCGCCGCATGCGAACCATTTTAGCATCGACCTCGGTATCGCGCGCGCGCTCGAGCTTGTTTGTATACACAGCCGTAACAAAAGGCTGCTGCAGCACTCCACGGACTATTTTCGTGTTGCTCCGCTCGGCGATTGCAAGCTCGCTCGCTCGAGTTCGCCTATACGAAAAGCATCGCAAGCGAACGCAAACTCGGATAATTTGCTCCTTGACATTTTTAAGGCAAATTTCGAACTTTGATTTTTCGAGATTAATTGTAAAAAAGGCAGAAGTAAAGGGTAGCGCCGTAAGCTGAACGATCGAGCCTCGAGCTCGTAGAACAAAAAGCTTCGGCTTCCCTACGAACGAACCCCTGTTTGCGTACATTTATATTTGTGCACGAAAGTGCTCGCCAGTCCTCTGCGACACGTTTTGCAGTTTAGTCACGCGGTACAGCGAAAGAGAGAGAGAAAGAGAGAGCTTCACATAGTTAAAAATTCGTGTTATATATACATACATCCACGAGGAGGAAAGAAAAAAACGTAAATGTACATAAAGTGTTGAGTTTGAAAAATCGTCTCGTATACTTACTTACTTGCTTGGGTTTCGGCTCTCGGTATGGCTGGGCAACGATGGCAATTTATTCGCGCCGAGATGCCTTGGCTGACATCTAAATAAAGTATTTTTCATGCAATTTTCAGCGTTTAATGAAGAAAACCTGCGACTATACCAACGCGTGCGAATCGTGTGAAATATTTCAACAAATCGATTCTTGTCACGTTATCTATCTAAGCGTATGATGTTTCGTTGATCACGTTCGTGATATCCGATTGAAATATTGATTTTTTCTGATAGTAAAAACCTGAATACGCATACTTGTATGATGATTTTATAGATCGAATCATAGAAAGATATTGAGTATAAAATTACTACTAATTATAAGAATAATCGGATAAAGCGAATTTGCCGAAAAAGTATGATTTGTGTTACGCGTGGCAGAACATTCATCAAATTATATGAATTCCAGTATAATTTAAAGTACTCTCAATTTTTCTGATACATTTCTGCTCAGTTTAACTAATGAAAATTCAATGCATGCTTCAGATCAGTAGTCTGCAATTATTTTGTTAAATCATTTTCACTCGTATTTATTTTCGTATCCATGATTATCTTATCAATAGTAAAAATTGATTGATTAGTTCATGAATATCGCAAAATCATTCACACGGGATCCTTATTGGAATTTTTTAGCAATTAGTCAACAAAGAATTCGTATTGTATCCTCAATAATTCAGAACTCAAAGAAATGAAGTGTTATAATTTTAGCTATTATCCGGATTTCAATCTCAAAATTAAACTCGCCACACGTGTAATAGGCGTGCTTGAAGTTTTACTTGAGTAACACTTGACATGTATCTCAATAAAAATTACATCAGTCCATTAGCAGAAAGAGGGTATCAAGGTTGGAAATGAATTTTCCTCTCGCCGTTGTCATGGCCGTAACTCGAGATTATAATACGATATTTCGAACGGGACTTTGCATGCGAGTCGCATACTACACTTATATATACTCGTGCGACTGCCATCAACGTTTGCCCCTTGAAAGCACGCAGAAAACAAACCTAGACGTACGTAGCACGTTGTCATATCACACTCAGGCGCGCTCGTCTCGGAGACGTATTTCTCTGCCTGCTTTATAGTGGCGTTTGTCTCGCTGCTTTACATTTGCTTTCGACGTGCGTGACGAGAGTCGCAAATGTTCATGCTAAACGATCGTTCGGGAATTTTTAGATTGAACGATGTGAGCATGAATTATGGGCTATTTTTCGCAATCGATTCTTCTGCATTGCTTGTAAAACGCCTTTAGTCGAATTAAATTCACTTCAAAAATAACCGAGAAAGTCTACAATAAAACTCGTGTGATTTTTTTCAACCGTAGTTCGAGGAAAGAAAACTAGAATACATGAATTGTAATGTCAGCATTTTGTATGCCATTTTAATTTACCATATACTCCAGTCAGAGCGTATAACGATCGTGAAAATATTCTGTTATTAAGGGTCTGTTCTTCCACGTCTACTAAGGTATAAGGTCTTTGAGAGATGAATCAAGCGGAAAAAGTTGATGCTCCAATAGTGAAATTCATCAGGTGCTTCGCACGAATTTCACCATTAACTAGATTTTCATTAGAAAAAAAAATAAAACAAATAAGATTTTTCAATAATTGAATAATTAAATTATCGATAGTCTGCTGACAAACTGAGCAAGTGAATCATGCAACTTAAAGCAAGAAATAATTTAGTATGACGCAATTGTTTTTAAATACCTATTTATGTAAATTGTGCACAGAATACAAATAAAAGTTATTTTAACGTCCTCTTACACCCTCGAAAGTCTCTTCACATCTGTAATATTCCATCCCTAGTTGTGCTCAAAAAGTCCAATTAATCCTAGAAAGCACAAAACATTGAACAAGTCTAATTATACGTTAGCAACTCGCTGCGCTCATGTGGAGAATTTCTCCCCTTTCTAGAACTAAACCGGAGGAAAGTTAATTGTACTTTGTTGGAAGCTTGCAAAAGCATTAGATATTACTGCATTGCCGTTAAATAAAATGTGATTGGTCCCGAATATTTTTTTTCCTTTAAGGAACAAAAGTTTATTTATACGACCGGAGTTATTAATGCGCGGTTATGGTACAACTGTTACAGTTGGCCGCGATCATATTCAAGTGAACAAAACAAAGCAATACGTAAGGGGAATATATACTTGTAAGTTGAAATAGGCTCTGAGAATCTTCCTTGTGCGCTGTGCGTGTGTGCACAGTTGGATGATAATCTGACGTTAATAACGTCATGGGGCGAGCTCGTTGAATTATATTCGATTCATCTCGGCTGGATAAGTGATTTTTCCATGAGAAAAGCGAAAATTATAATAAAATCGGATTTTGCGGCATGTGCTCCACGGCTCGTTGTTGTCAGAGTGAAGAAAGTCGTTCGAGTAGAAAGTCTCTTCTGTTCGAATTAAACTGTGATCAAGCAATAGAAGCCACCAGAGGAAAAATTCTGTTATTGATTGGTCTTGTAAGCATTTAACTTCTAATAATATAATATTAATATATTATTAAAAAATACAGAAAGGTTTTGGAAAGAAATAAGTCATTTGTTTTGTTTTTCAGTATATTTTAATATCATCGTTATCCTCGTAATTTTATAAATACGCCTATCGCCACAAATGCGATAATGGTGCTTTGTAAATAAACAAAAAATTACTCATCAGTAAAGTGTGTATAATACGTATACTTATACATGATTTTGTTGTAAAAAACATTCGATATCCAGACAGTTATGTCTGGATGTGTGCTTGTTTACTTGTAACTTGCTCTAACAATCGTTGGTATTAAATTTACTGATTAGAAATACACATTATTGTTGAATGCTCGTTCACTGCAAAGTTTGTATACGTGGGTTTTATATTTTTTGTGTAATACTATAAGAAACTATTACAAAGCTCGATCTTTCTAGTTTTTTTTTTTTTTTTTTTTTTAATTTTATACATAGCACACCATTGACAAATTGAAATACATACACTGACACAATAGAATTAATTAAACGTAAATATCTTTGTTTTAACCGGTCCTT